AAAAGTTCATGTCATAGAAAGAGTAGAATTATGGTTATCAGCAGACGATAGGGTCGGGGGAAGAAAGATTAGAAACAGGTTGGTTAACAGATACAAAATTACATCTAGATTAGAAGAATAAGTTCTAGTGTTATATAGCACTGTATGGTGACTATAGTTAATAATAATTATTGTATATTTTCAAATAGCTAGAAGATTTTGAATGTTTCCAACATAAAGAAAATAAATGAGGTGATTTGATCATTACACATTATATATATATATATATATCAAAATATCACTCTTTATTCTATAAGTATTTACAATTAAAAATAAAAAAAGTTCTAAAAATCCATCACATTAGTTTCCTAGTATACAAATTATACAAAAGATTTAGGGGAAAAGAATTCATTTTTAAACCTATTGTTTTATGCATATTTGTTGTAACTAAATGACTAAATAATTATTGCTTTATGCATATTGGCTATAACTAAATGACTAAATGATTAAACTAATTAAGTAATAAAGATTACTTGGATTTCAAGATATTTTTGGCATTCTCATACACTCTTTTATGGCATATATTCAATTGCTGATTGAGGTTAGAGCATATTTTCTATTTTCAAATTTAAAGTGAGGGAAAAAAGAAGAACTGAAACATTTTGCCCTAGTATATCTCTAATAAAATATTTCGGCATTAAGCACGAATATCTATAGTCTTTTTACTCATAACAGAAAAGATGAGTCTGAACAAGATAAGAGGCTTATAACGTTTCATCAACAGTAATGAGAAAAAACTTTTAGGATTAAAAAAATTCACTGAAATCACTTTACTGAAAAAGTAATTAAAGTTCTTACAACGTCTTCACATGAGAATGTACTGGATGTTTGTCCTCCATAATGAGAATTTACTACATATTTTTAGTAATCTTTTTGTGTAAGAAAAGTAAAATCAAATTAGGAAAAGAGAACTTCAGAAACTTTAATACCCTGGGTACTGGTAAACTAAAATACAACTTGCTACAAAGAATAGTCTACATATACGGGGTAAAGTCTTGGCAAAGATTTCAAAATTCACGAGTTTCATAAAAGTCATCTCTACGGGACCACCTAACACCAAGAGAGTTGAAGTACATGAAAATGCAAACAATCAAAGGAATTCCAAAATATTTTGCATCAGAGACATAGAATGCCAATGGAAGGGCGGCCGGGCATTGTGCTGGGCTGAGTGAAATGCTGCCTTTATTAATACACATTGATACATTATGTCATTCCGCCTCCACACCGAGACTGTGGGACAAGCAACACTGTGTGGCACATTTTCAGTGAGAGAGGGATTAGCAGTGACCTCCCACCCTCGGAAACTCTGCCTAGTGTCCTGGGAATGTTCCTGGCCTGCTTGGAGAAGGTAATCCGAGGCTGCTCTTAGGCCACAAGCATTGCAGTTAGCAGTAATTACCTGGAAACTCAGCAGCCATGATAGAGTTTAAAGAAGCCTCCACAAATGACTAAGTTTTTCCTAGAGAATTTCTCAAGTACCGGAAAAAGGTAGCTTATTATATGTAAACACTGCTAAGGGTGTTTCTGTGTGAGAGTGAAGAGTGAAATGTTTCAGTGGTGGGGACATGAAGGGAACGTTTAGAGACTTGCAAGACAAGACCCAAACAGGAATGAAATGATGAAAGAATGGCCAGCACTGGTGGGCCGGCACAGTTAGTTGAGAGCAGTCTGGGGACCATTAAGCAAAATCATGTAAATAGAACTCCCAAAAACATGTTAGGAAATAAAGAGCAAGGCAAGAGCCTCAGAGAAACATCCAGAAATTTCAGGAGGGAGTTAGGTTACAACCCAAAAATAGATGTCAGAAAGGTGGAGATGCCAGAAGGATAAGGTCAGCTCTAAGGGGGAAAATATCATTGCTTGATGGTGATGACCCCCCAAAGTTAAAAGACATTCTTTTCTGTAAACAGCTGCTGGCCAGATGTCCCAAAGCAAATGGCAAATGATCACATGTCGCTCTCCTTCTCCAGGCACTCCCCAGCTAAGGAACCCAGTCAGAACTGAAATTCTCTGTCTATAGAAGGCTCCCCAAGCCTCAAGTTTCAGTGCCTCTAATCCTGCCAGTTTTTCATTGGGGAATTTGTTATTCATTCTCAGTGAAGAGTTTCCTAAAAGATCAACAACTCTATCCTCACGAATGTGACTCAGCCTGGGAATGGTGAGAGAGCCAGGTCTCCCTAGGCCGAGTGTTATTTGGGGCTCCCAATGGTGGCCTTGGACTCTCTCCCAGGGTGGTGCCAATGGGCAGCCTGCACACAACCTCCAGAGAGGAACTGGTTCTCAGCGGAGGCAGCTCTTGTTCAGAACGGATTCCCGGGCATGTCTCATCACCGAGACACAATGCTGATGGCTCTTGTTGGCATGGCCTCCCATTGGCAGAGGCAGCACATTCTTCTGTCAGCGCCATTCCCAGGGCTCACACTATTTATCTGAGTCTCTTGCTCACTGTTAGGCAGGGACAGTTAAGCACCGTCTTGGACTGCTGCCCACAGGTTCTCCTGAGAATTTTAAGAGGAATTACTTTACATCAATCTGCAACTGAACTTGTTTAACAGCCTTTATAGGTGCAGCGAGGGACAAACCTAAATAACACTGCATACCTCATTCCCCTCATTTTAAGGCCATTTAAGCTCACAGCCACTGATTCTTTCTTGGTCAAGGATGAGCACATGCACTCACAAGATGCTCCATCAGAGGATAAAGTCCCTGACTCCCTTGGGCCAATATCCACACTTATTAAAGACTCTCACCAGATATGGAGGAAGCCAGATGTGAATTTTAATTCAGCCTACACAACTCATTAAATGTGTAACTTCTTAGCTAGCTAATGGATTAACCTACCTAGCTCATTCTCACTTGCCTCGCCTAAAAATGTTTTATCTCACAAAGTGGCCATCACGATTAAATTAATTAATTTTATAGCACTTAGTCTCTGGTTATATATTCCTTTTCCTAATAGAAAGAAATGAATCCAGGCCAGGCACGGTGGCTCACGGCTGTAATCCTAGCACTCTGGGAGGCCGAGGAGTGTGGATCACTTGAGCTCAGGAGTTTGAGACTAGCCTGAGCAAGAGCGAGACCCCGTCTCTACTAAAAATAGAAAGAAATTAGCTGGACAACTAAAAATATATATAAAAATTTAGCCAGGCGTGGCAGCGCATGCCTGTAGTCCCAGCCAGCTACTCGGGAGGCTGAGGCAGAAGGATTGCTCAAGCCCAGGAGTTTGAGGTTGCTGTGAGCTGGGCTGACGCCACGGCACTCTAGCCGGGGCAACAGAGCAAGACTCTGTCTCAAAAAAAGGAAAAAAGAAAAAAAGAAATGAATCCAAACAGACAAGAATTCACTGGTATCTTAATTCTCATATTCCATGAGACTAGAGATTTCTAGACAAAGGTGACACTGGGTGAGTATCGCTGGGAGAAGTCCCAACTTCTTGGCGTTGGGTCAGCTGCAGCTGCAACAAGGAGGCAGCTGGGATGCTGTAGGGACAGAGTTCCACTGAGGAGCAGGCAGCCTTGATAACTCCCATTTGACCACATCATCAGGAAGCCAGGGAAGCCGGGTCTAGGCTTTCCCTTCATGCAGCTTTGAAATCCTAGGTGAAGTATCTCAGGAGAGGAGGAAGCCTCCTGCAGTGAGACCAAGGAGCTGCAGGTTACAAGGCTTGCAGGTGAGAGAGGAAGAGAATGCCTCATGTCACACAGGTATTCAGAGAGAGAAAAGACCACAGCAGTGCCTCCTAATTTTTAATAGCATCAATCTCTTCAGAATCCATTCTCCTTGTTCACGAAATGGAGCCCCAGTGAGAGCCTATGCTGTCTCCACTGAAGTGCTCGGACGTGTCTGAGCATGTTGGATGACAGGGTGGCCAAGCCTGCCAGAATTTGAATGAGGAACTAAGGGGAGGAATTAATCATTCATTCAAAGCAATCAATATTTATTGAGTATTTATTATGTACTAGGTGCTGTACAAAGCCCCCATATACAGCTATGGAGACGGACAGTGTACTATAGGAAAAGAGAATCAGGCCCAGGAGGCTGGTTTAATAGTGAAGACTTAGCGGAGGGCAGAGAGAGCTGTGAGTTGGTCACATGGATTGGACTTTGCTATGAGTTCCCCAGAGATGTGGCAAGGAGGACCCTGAAAGGACAGGGCCTTTCTTCCTGCAGGCTTCACAACTTATAGCATCATTTACCTCCAAAGCACTTCCAGGACCTCTGTGTTGGCTGCTGCCTGGTAGACAGAGACATTTTCAGGGGAAGCCACAGCTGTGACTCTCTGAAAAAAAGTGTCTGTAGATATAGTAAACGGGTTCAGAAATAGGAAAATTGTGGTAGGGAGAAAAAAAGAGGGTACTAAGTGGTAGTTGACAGGGCTAACCTGTGAACACATGTGAGCTCTCCATGGGACTGCCCAGACATAAGCAAGGGGGGCTTTGCCTTTGCAGTGGGTTGGAGAATTACAAAAAGAGATGTGTTCAATAATCAGGGAATCTCACAAGGGGTGCTGTTCTATTAGGGGGATCACTATAGGAGCATGAGCTAATACCTGGACTAGAGGGCAGTTGGAGGTAGCAAGGACAGCCACGGCAAGGGGAAGTGGAGCATTTCCGCCTCTGACCCCATCATAGATAATGACTTCTTACCTGTATGTGGAATGGAGAGGAAATTTAAACTTTGAGGAGTGGTCACTTTGGGTAGTTGGAGAAACTGATACAACGCATTCTCAGAGTCAAGGCAGAGAGAGGACCACCATTGTTGTGAAAGCAGAGGGAGTCCTCTCCCACTCACACCTGTAGGGTACACAGCCCTAGTTATCCTCCTTCATTCTAGGTTGACCTATGTGTGCTCTGAATGACACCAATTTTCACAACCTTACCTTTATTATTTTCATGCATCATTTACTTCCTAGGATACATACTTCAGAGCATACTTTCCATTAGCAGCGATGGCTCAGCTACATGACCTTGGGCAACTTCCTTAAACCAGCTGCTCTCACAGTAAGAATCACCTGTTCACCTCACATTGCTGATGCTGATTCAGCCCGGGGAAAAGCCTATCATTCCTCATATCTCACAGGCTCCCAGGTGCTGCTGCTGCTGCTGCTGTTCCTGGGCCACACTTTGAATAGTGAGGACTTAAACTCTTTGGGCTTCAGTTTCCTCATCTGTGAAACAGAGATAATAATGATTAGGTTATTGTGAGAATTGAATGAGTTGGTGCACTTAACACAGTGCCTAGCAACAATTGGGTGCTCTATAATAGTGTAAAATATTTTAGCACTATATGTTAGTTGCCTTTTATCAGAAAACCTGCAAAGATATGCCATATATCTTTGATGTGAATTTACATGTGTGTTCTGGAACAAATACCCTATTGCAAATTTCCTATTTTGTATTTCCAAACATTGCAGTAATTCCCTTAAGTTGTTATTTTTGGTTGTTTACACAGTCTCTTCCAGTGCAATGAATAGATTTATTATTATTGGTAATAATAAAATAATAATGTATTTACTTTTGACATAGTACTGTATATTAATTCTCTTTGTAGTCAGACCTCTGGATGAGCTACAAAAGAGATCAGACCTTTATTCTTCCCTGGTGGCTTTACCCCTGTTCTGGTTTTGTTCACATGTTAAAATGTTTGTTCTGACTTACTTTCTAGAGTTACCCATTAAGCATGGAATAACTTAATTATGGATCCCCCAATACTAGTAACAAACTGCTATGCAATTTATGAGTTTTTTTTTTAGACTTAAACCAAAAACCATTACTGTGTAGATTCTTCCAAATAAGATTATATAGAAAACTTTTGACTTTCATTTACCTCTAAATAGCTTAAAACTTTCTTTAGTAGCCATATTAAGGCTTTCCTAATTCATTTCCCTTTTATAGTTTTATAAAGAAATGAATATCAAAATTAAAAAAATTTCTTTATCTGTAATTTACACGCAATATTTTCTCATACTCATTTTAAGGGATTTTTCCCCCTTCACATAAAATTTCATATATGACTATAGTAGAGTAGCTCTGAATAATAACTACTTAAAAATCTGCTTTTAAAAAAATTTTGCTGGTATTAAGAATATTGGTCTCTACTGTCTCCACAAAACCTATAAAACCACAGTCAAGGGTCTTTGTAGGTGAGAGGAAAGAAGGAAAGCCGCATGCGTGGGACTCCCTTTCCTCTAGCACTGCGAACCGTGAGGGCAGGTGAGGATAAACTGATTATTTCTGTAGTCCATAGATTCTCATCTTCCCCATGGTGACTTAAGAATTGTTACAATTTTATGTTTCCTGAGAAGAAGTTATTCATGATCACCCTAGAATGATGATTGCTGACATTCACCGAGCTCTCATCCAGTAGTTTTCAATACTGGTTGCACATTAGAATCACCCGGGGGGCTGTAAAAAATACTACTGTCCAGGCCCTACCCCAGACTGATAGAATCAGAATCTCTGAGGCTCAGGAATTTACATGTCTTTTAAGTGTCCTAGGTGATTTTGGTGTACAATGAGGGTTGAAAAACACTTAACCTAATTAATAGACTCATAGTATTCAAAATTACAAATACTGATTACATTGTTCATAAGATGAGACTTATTTTATTATATAATCCTTATAACAATTCTGTGAAATCAGTATATTTGGTCATACCTTAGATTTAAACTTGGGAAGACTAATTAGGTCAATAAAGGTCACAAAGTCAGGACATGTGGTAGATTCATAAGTTGAATCTATGTCTGTCTGACTTTCAAGTCCATGCTAGTTCACTAAGAAATATTGCAAGAAGATAAGAAAAGATAAAAGAATGAAAATGAAATGAAATGAAAAAATAAATGATAACACCAATTGGCACTATAGCAATAGTAAACATGTTTCCTGCTTTCTAGAGAGTTTTATTGGAATTTAGGCTGTGGGATTCAGCAAACGCAGTCCTAAGGAGAAATTTCATACCCTTAAATGCCTACGTCAAAAAGACAGGACAATCACAAACCAACAATATAATGAATCATCTAGGGAACTAGAAAAGAGCAAACCAATCCCAAACCCAGCAGAAGAAAAGAAATAACTAATTTCAGAGAAGAACAAAATGAAATCAAAAACAAAAGAATAAAACAGAAGATTAATGAAACAAAAAGTTGGTTCTTAGAAAAGATAAACAAAATAGGAAATAGAAATAGAAAGGACCCAAATAAACTCAATCAGAAATGAAAAAGGACAACTGACACCACAGAAATGTAAAGTATCATCTGTGAATATTATAAAAACCTCTGCACATAAACTCGAAAACATGGAGGAAATGGACAAATTCCTGTAAACACACAACCTCACAAAGCTCAATCAGGAAGATATAGAACTCCTGAACAGACCAATTATAAGCAACAAAATTGAAGCAGCAATAAAAAATAGTCCAACCAAAAAATGTCCCAGACCAGATGGTTTCAGAGCAGAATTTTATCGGACCGACCAAGAAAATTGCTACCCTAAAGAATTTCATAACATCAAGAAGGAAGGAATCTACCCCAACTCATTCTATGAAGCCAGTGTCACCTTGATACCCAAGCCAGGGAAGGACACAACAAAAAAAGAAAACTATAGACCAATATCCCTTACAAACATAGAGGCAAAAATCCTCAATAAAATTCTAGCAAACTGAATTCAGCATCACATCGCGAAAACAATCCACCACAACCAACTTGGCTTCTTCTGAGGGATGCAAGGATGGTTCAACATATGTAAATCCATAAATGTGATTCACCACATAAATTGAATGAAAAACAAAGATCATATAATCATCTCAATAGATGCAGAAAAGCATTCAACAAAATTCAGGACCCTTTTATGATAAAAACTCTTAACAAAATAGGCATATATGGAACATACCTCATAATTATAAAAGCAATAGACAACAAACCCACAGCTAACATTATACTGAATGGGGAAAAGTTAAAAGTGTTCCCACTGAAAACTGGACCAAGACAAGTCACATATATTTTAAAGCAGAGTTTTTCAGGATATATTCCATTTTAATGATTCAGTAGTGCTTAGATAAAGGTTTAAGAAGAGAAATCTGAGACAAATCCAAGCACTTGTGTTTTTCGTAATTAGAAATTACAGTCCTGGATGTACTACTAAAGTTTACTTTAAAACATCCCATTATGTGCCTCTACTTGGAATGGTTACATTTTGGTAATGGAGGACTTTTTCTGGGTCTGTGTTCTATACAGTTTGAGGAGAGCATCCAAAATATTTCCCCTCTTACATACCCCACCTGCATGGGCAGAGTGAGAATCTGACATTGTAGTCATGTGTGCACTCCTGCCATGCACACCTGTACTTGCAAAAACCCCACCTCATTTGTACTGGTGAATGAAACCCAGGTCAGCTTGTGTCTGTTATTTAATTTTCATCAATATTGGCATTATAACTTTAAAATCTTGGCACTCTCAAGTGTGAATAGATTCGTGTAATATTAGTCATTCCCCTTTGTGTTTATAAATTATGATAGTATCTCTTTCCATCTCTTCCACTTGCATACTGCCAAGACTTATTAAACTGATATGAGTTAGTCACACCTGATACTAAATGAGTTATATTAACTTTAGGAAATTCACTGGGGTGTGATTTATTTTAGATAAACAAACTTGCCTATAAATATTCCAAAGTTAAAAGCTTGTTTTTAAAACTAAAATTTGATAATAATATGTTCTCTCATCTGTATTTAATCTTTTCTCAGTAAATATGTATTCATTGTATTATATTTGAGAATATAAGAGTTTAAAATATTCATTCTAAGTTCCCTTTTTTTGTTAGTTTTATCATTACTTTGTTTCACAGAGAAAAGAGATTTAAACATAACTACCTGTTTCTCAAATTTTGGGTATCAGATAACTTATTTTTATTTTTAGACACATTTTTGCTGTGTCCCCTGTCTTCAGTGTTAATAATTATTTGATAAGTAACATCAAGGAGGTGTATACCTACTCTGCCTTCTTAGGGTATGCATGCAAAATGATTCTATAAGCTATTAAGACTATGGGATATTGTTATATGGATTGATAGAGGTTCTCATTTCTTAGAAAATTAAATTTTAGAATGATCTGGTTACCATGTTTTGATATTTTCCTTATGGATGCAAAGAATTTTAGTAGAGCACCTTTCAGCATTTGGCTTGACATACAATCACAGTAAGTTCAAAGAATTTTCAAATCAAGGTGCTGAGCTATGTTGTAATGAAAAAAGGTACCACACTCTGAACCTGAGATATATCTGAGAGAGAACATACTTTCCTGGCCACACTGGTCACAGTACATAACGGGGTTGTTGTTACCTAACCAGAATAATTCTGATTCAGCCTCCACCTTCAGAAAATGGGAAGACTATCCCAACTGTAATTCTTCCCCACAGGTTCCAAAACTCCCTAAGCAGGGTTGCTTGTCCTCCAGATATTTTTCTCATGATCACAAGATGGTATTCTTTGCTTTTTCCACCCTCAGAATGATGTTTGTGTAGATTTCCACTCTCTCGACCTTCATCTCTTCTCCCCTGGGCAGGTGGCTGTTTGGATACCCAGACCTTGCTCCCTAGATGCCCCCCACCCTTCTTCCCTTCCCACTGTTGTTTTCCCATCATTCTCTTTGGCTGCTAATATTGGCTCTGTGGCTCAGAGCCTAATCTGGACATTGTGTTAATAGGTCCTATCTCAGGATTGCATTTATTCACTTATTCAATGAATATTTATTGAGAATCTATTATAAGTGAGGCTTTGTTCTGGGGGACTGGGTACTCAGCATAGAGAAGAAAAACACTAAACCTATCCTTGCAGATATTACATTCTAGTAGAAGGCAAATAGTAAGTAAATAAACATACAATTATGATTTCAGTAGTGATACATGTTCTGAAAAAAAAAAAAAACTAAAGCAAACTAAAGCAATAGAGACTCTCTCTGGGGGGGAGAATAGAAGTGAGATATTGTTTTGGATGAGGTGGATCAGGAAAAGCCTCATTAAGGAGGTAACATTTAAGCAGAAACCCAGATGAAACGAGGGAGGAAGTCAAGTGAGTATCTAGGCAGAGGCCCAGAGGCCCAGAGGTTTGGTTTGCTTAAGAAACAAGATCATAGTGGCTAGAGAAAGAGGGAGGTAGAGTGAGAGGAGAGAGGGTCAGTGAGGAAGGGAGAAGTCATTGCATAGAATTTTGTTCACCTTGGCAAGGAGTTTCAGCTTTATTTGGAGTACAGTGAGAATCCACTAAAGCAGCAGACCCCAACATTTTTGACACCAGGAACCGGTTTCATGGAAGACAATTTTTCCATGGACCAGGGGTGGGAGTGGGGATGGTTTCTGGATGATTCAAGTGCATTACATTTATTGTTCAGTCAGACCTCTCTGCTAATGATAATCTGTATTTGCAGCTGCACCCCAGTGCTGGCATCACCGCCTCAGCTCCACCTCAGATCATCAGGCATTAGATTCTCATGAGGAGTGCTCAACCTAGATCCCTTGCGTGTGCAGTTTACAGCAGGGTTCCCACTCCTGTGAGAATCTAATGCCGAACGGGTCGCGGAGGTCCTGGCTGCTGCAGCGCAGACGGCTTAGGCCGCGGAGGTCTGTGGGCCCGACCCCAGCCGGGCGGTTTCTGTCTGTCCTGCTATGGCTGCCGCCACTGCTTGGTCACGCCGTCAGGTTTGGAGGATGGGGTGCCTAGGTCCCGTGGCGAAGGGGCCGGAGAGGTGATCGTGGAGCGGGGGCCTGGTGCGGCCTACCACATGTTCGTGGTGATGGAAGACTTGGTGGAGAAGCTGAAGCTGCTCCGCTACGAGGAGGAACTCCTCCGGAAGAACAACCTGAAACCCCCGTCCAGACACTATTTTGCATTGCCTACTAACCCTGGTGAACAGTTCTACATGTTTTGTACTCTTGCTGCTTGGTTGATTAACAAAGCAGGACGTCCCTTTGAGCAGCCTCAAGAATATGATGACCCTAATGCAACAATATCTAACGTTTTATCTGAGCTTCGGTCATTTGGGAGAACTGCAGATTTTCCTCCTTCAAAATTAAAGTCAGGTTATGGAGAGCATGTATGCTATGTTCTTGATTGTTTAGCTGAAGAAGCATTGAAATATATTGGTTTCACCTGGAAAAGGCCAGTATACCCAGTGGAAGAATTAGAAGAGGAAATTGTTCCAGAAGATGATGCAGAATTAACATTAAATAAAGTAGACGAAGAATTTATGGAAGAGGAGACAGATAATGAAGAAAACTTTATTGATCTCAACGTTTTAAAGGCCCAGACATATCACTTGTTTTTCTTGTCTGAGTCCTCGAAACAAGTTTGGATCTAGTTTTGGTTTCATATCATGAAGACTTCTTGACCACCCCTCCCCAGGATGATCTCTTCATTTATCATATACTGCCATAGTATTGTTAATTCTCATTAGTTATTATTAATGATGTGTGTGTTTTCTGCCCAACTTAAGATATAATATAACATGTGGCTAACTTGCCTGAGTGTGTAATTTGACTTTAATACTGTCTAGGATTCCAACTTTGGGCAAGATTTCAAACTTCTTGTGCCTCATCTTCATCTGTAAAATAAAAGTTTTACCTTTTACATAGGGTTTTTGGAGATTAAGAGACTTACTACACGTAAGACTCTGTAACAATATCTATCACATAGAAAGTACTCTGGAAGTATTGGCAAAAACCAAAACTCCTATTCCTTCACATTCTCCTTCTGAAATCTGATTTGTAAGCTCCTTGGTAACAGGGATAACTATGCTTTTTTATATTCCCTGTACTATAACACAGAAGGTACTGAATAAATGAAAGAAGATACTTTCATTGATAATTAAATTTTATCAGAATAATATGTTAACACTGAAATCCAAACAAATAAACTCCAGCTGTGACAACACTTTTGCTCATGTTGTAGTTTTCAAAGTACTTTAAAACTCATCTTTTTATTGACCTTATGAGGAATTTGGGTAGATGCTGTTTTTTTACAAATATAAGCCATTTTACAAATTTTGCATTTTACAAATATAAGCCTTGAAATTTATAACCTTGGGACAGTTTAATCTTTTAAAAAGCTAATAAATTACAGTAACTGAATTTGAACGGTTTCTTTAAACTCCAAGTCTATTTTTTCCCCCCTTTCCTCATAACAAGAGTTCAACAAGAGGCTGGGCGCGGTGGCTCATGCCTGTAATCCCAGCACTCTGGGACGTGAGGCGGGAGGATTGCTTGAGCTCAGGGGTTCGAGACCAGCCTGAGCAAGAGCGAGACCCCATCTCTATTTATATAAATTAAAAAAAAAAAAAAAGGAGTTCAACAAGGCGTAGGTAGGGTTTGATTCCTGCTCTGAGCAAGTACACTGTGATGTTGGTGTTCATGTAATGTATCTGTTGAAGATGATTATGACAAAGTGCTCCTATGTATGAGTAGAAAAATAAAAGTAGAGATATACACAGTTATTAAAAAAAAAAAAAGAATCTAATGCCACCACTGATCTGACACAAGGTGGAGTTTATGCAGTGATGTGAGTGATGGGGAGTGGCTGTAAATACAGACGAAGCTTCACTCACTCTCCACTCGCCTCCTGCTGTATGGCTCAGTTCCTAACAGGCCACGGACTGGTACCGGTCTACAGCCCAGGGTTGAGGACCCCTGCACTAAAGGATTTTGAAGAGTGGAATAATGTGGTCTTGGTGGAGATAGTTGTGGCTTCCAGCCTTCTATCACTTCTTGGATGTGACCATCCATTCTACCATTATTTCTTCCAGCCCTGTTAGTGAAGGGATGAAAAAAAACACTTTCTACTCATTTTGTTACAATAGTACATAAAGAGCGTCATCTTAAACTCCAATGTTCTGTGGTAATTTTATCCATACAGTCCTACCTGTAATAGACCCCATTCCCTACACGACTGGTCCAAGTCCCTGGGTCACAATTTGCAAGGTTTTGGAAAAAGAGAGTAGCAGATAGTCTGCTGTTCTCAAAATTTTTCTTTTAATCTCACCAATTGTTTATTGTCCTGGAATAATGTTTTCCAATGATTCTCCTTCTGTGCTTGGGGTCATATTTCTCCTCTTCCATGCAGTTCCCTGGCATTCTTTGCAAAAAGACCATGGATAGGTCCACCTTTCTTTCCTTCTGGATACAGGAGCTCATTCTCAGACTCTGCCATCCCTTCATAACACAACGCTTCTACTGTGGCCTTAGAGGAGTCTTGGCCTCTGGACAGGTGACTCACAGCATCAGTCCAGTATGGCTCCCAGGGAGTCTCCTGTATCCTCTACGGGACTCCCTCCAACCTTTCAAAAGTCGATATCCTGAGACCTCCTGAACAATTAACCAAATTGCCAAATTTTCTTCCTCTGGACATTTTGACTTCTTTTTTACCCTGTCTTCAAAGAAGATGAATGATTTTATTTAATGGCTGCTTTCCACTTTGTTATTGTTTGTTCATTAAAAAATATTTATTAAAGTGACTCTATACTTGACATCTGTTGAGAAATGAAATGCAAGTGTGAGCTGAGAAGCCAGCAATGAGAAGGTACCCAATGAACACATGGAGTCCTCGAAATTAATTGCACTACTGAGGATTTGTGTCCATCTGCATTTTTTGTTATTGTTGTTGTTTTGCTTTTGGCAAAGAGGTTCAGCCAAACAAAACCTTCTACCACTTCATAGAAATACAAAGAATAAAATGATTCTCATTTTTGACCAGCAGCATTTTTAACTATAATTGATCTATTTGCCTGAAAAGTTAACATAGAAAGCAATGCTTTTGCTTTTGTGAGAATACTAGGATGTCATTCTACTGGAGTGTTCAAATGCTCAGAAAGAATGTTTCTGTTTTTCTAAGGAAAAGTTTTCTGCTAAATGTAGCCCTGATTTAGCTCTACTCTATTAGAGTTTTAAATTTTATAACCGTTTACTCATTCTACCTTGATGTGTTTATCATTTTACACAAATTTTTGATATGTATGTCCCATTATCAGTAGTCTTTTCTTTAAGAATTTAGTTCATTCTTAAGTTTTTATATTATTACAAAGTTTCACACTTTTACATTTTTCATTTAAAATGTAAAGTATCGTATCCAAAGAAATCATCATTTTCTTCTCTGTTAAGTCTGTCCTCTGCTATTGTGCATACTAAATTCTGCTTCTGCACAAAGATAATATGTTCTTGCCTCTCTCCTCATTAAATGAGTGGATGTTTTGACCAAGGATACTGGCCATGACTTAGTTTTTAATTTTAAAACACAAGAAGTACTTGGAAAATATAAATTCTCCAAACCTACTTGAAATGGTACAACCAACAAACTTACATTTTCTTTAAAGATCAGGCCTTGGCATTACAGAGAATGAGACATTGGAGAGGGAATACTTGCTTGGACCCACTCTGGCAGTGCAGGGAAGATGCTTTGCTATAGGCAGTTCCTTGCTGCTGCCTTCAACCGATAACACTTAGAGGCCAAGATGCCAAAAACACTTTTTTTATATCTTTGGACCAATTTCATTCTGAAACCTCTTATTGCAGTGTTTTAAAAAAATATTTTTGAAATTGTCCCTTTGAATGCTTTGAAGTTGCTGCTTTCTGGTCCTCCTTCCTCTGCTTTCATCACTTGCTGTTGGTTTTAGGGACATTTACATTTAAGACATTTATTTAATTCCCTTTTCACCTTGGGTTTCTGAGTGCTGCATTTTTACTCCATTGTTATGTTTTGTTTTGCTTTAACCTGTTGCCAGATGTGCCCCATGGGACTGGAACAAACCGTCTGCCAGACACAATCCTGAATTCATTAACTTGTCATTTTCTTTGCTGTTGATGCGACCTGACAGACAGGCACCTCCATGAAAGGAGTATTTACCCAACACCAACATCTGCCAAGAAAAACAGAGGGGAAAACAGAGAGGCAAAGAAGGTGGAATGGGTGGGGGTATACATGTGTTTAGAGATTGGAAGAGCTTTTTAAAAAAGTTATTGTTTAACAGTCTGGAAACATGATTCCTGCTGTTGCCAAAAGCATCTCATCAGCCACATAAGACCTAATATCTGACTTAAGGGGAAAACCTTGAACTCCTCACTTCCAAGACAACATGAATTAGAATCAGGACAGACTTCTGACATGGTGATCTCAGCATGAGTCTCTGTAGGGTGGTAGCCCACTGGATTACAAAATAATCTCTGGTAATTAAACACATTTGGCCTCTTTAGTGTGTGGGAGAAGTCATGGATAAGAAAATAAGAGGATTTGATTTTATGCAGGAAGGAGGGTGGTCTTGCTAAGGCAGGGTCAGCTGTCGGGCAAGGAGGCAGGGGCAGAGGCATGTAGTTTGGCTGGCTGACATAACCCCTGGGTCGTCAGAAAACTGAAATCATGCCTTGACATTCTCATAATCTCACAGTTCCAGAACAAGCAAAAAGAGGGGAATGGAGATGCCATCGTCAGTCTAGGCTTATGTGAAGCAGGGGCCAGCCTCATTTCTCTATGCCCACTGTGCTTATCCCCAGTGGCTCCTCCTCCCACAAAGCCAACAAACTACAGCCTATTTTTTCCTTTCTTCTTATCTCTGGCACTGTGATAAAAAAAAAAAAAAGGACTTTCAGAGAGTGAGGGGAAGCACAGAAAATAAGAATGATATCTTTCCTCCATTTTGTTCCAGAGAGTAGACGTGCCACCTTGACCATACCTTTCTGAATGATCCACGGGCAGCCACAGGAATGAGAAGCACGTTACATGAATCATGCCTTTTAGAAACATTGTGTTTCGCAGCTAATTATTGTCTTCTGTCATGAAGAAGCATCTGGAGGTCTCAACTCAGGGAGATTCCAGTTTGGGCCAGGACTAACTGCAGTTCCTCTACTGTCTTTCCAGAATACCTTGTCCTTTACACTTCTGCAGAGACTAGGAGAGCCAGTGAGAGGGAACATTGGGTTATTGAAGACTCTGAGCTCAGTGGAATAGAACCCAAAGAATGGCTCATCACAGCAGCCTGAGCCTGTCTTTCTTCTTCCACATAATTTAGGCTCCTACACATGATGGTGTTCCGAGTTCCATAATATTGAGGGCCTCTCCCTGAGGTCTTAGACCTTGTGTCACAGGACCCTAAGGCTCCCCTCTCCATGCTGTACAACTGCAGTTCCCTGGAATGTTCAGTGGTATCTCATAAACAAGTGTTTCATGGTCAAGTAAGTTCCTCTTCTTCTTCTTCTTCTTCATTTATTTTTTTAGGGACAGAGTCTTGCTTTGTCACCCAGGATAGAGGCAGTGGTGCTACTATAGTTCACTGAAGCCCCAAATTCCTGGATTCAAACAATCCTTCTGTCTCAGCCT